CTATCATTAGTTGGATTCACTTTCATCACCGAACTTAATTATTTAATTTTAGGTTTACTTTACGTGAAGTTGCAATACTCATGGTGAGTATATTGGACAATTTTTTATTTTACTGATTTATGGTTTAAGAGCAAATGAACCATTAGCAAATTCTTTTTGATTTATTCGAATAGGGCTAGAGCAGCGGGAGAAATAACTTTGTTTGATACACGTTTATCACCAATTATTAGAATTTCAACACGCATTCATCGGCATATTTTATATTTAAACATATCATTAATATTAGCAACATTTATTTTTCGTGTATTGGAACAAACCAATTCAAATATACAAAACATGTTTATTCCATCAATCATGTGGGAAATTATTTTCATTGTATTGATGAATGTGGGATTTTTATCATTTGGTGTATTTATGATATTGGCTTTGGCGACTGATCGTGAAGTCAAACAAAAAATTGGTGAATCTTTGGTTTTTAAATTTTCAAATAAAGCAGATAGAAGCAAAGCAATAAAGGTGAGAAAAAAAATGTTAATTTATAATAAGTATGAAATAAGGGTTTAACTTCTTTTTTTTATATTAGGTATTTGTCATCATGATGATTCTTATGTTTTCATTTTCATTCTTAACGATATCAAATGTATTGGTTTCATCACTTTCGCCGACAGTATCAAATTTTTGGAAATCAAGAGTAAGTTACAATATTTATACGTATGTACTTAATCTATTTACTAAGATCTTTTTTTGTATTTATTTAGGTAACTAGTGATACATCAATTTCGTTATCAATGATTTCAATATTATTCTTGCTTCGATCGAAGTCATGTTCACGCTATTTAGTTAATCCATCATCATCATTACTTACTACACGTCCGTCATCACGTTCATTGGGACCTACACCCGAGCAGTTAGCAGATGATGAAAGAAGAAATTCTGCAGCTTATACAACACGTACAGCTGTAGTTCGTCCGGAGCCGTCTTACAAGATGAATTTGAAACGTATTTCTGTTGAAATATGCGATACATCATTAGGGATGGGTGGGATAATTGGAAATATTTCTTTGTCAAAAGATTATACGTTAATGAATGATTTAAACAAAAATAATAACATTAATAAAAATAACGAGAATAGTGCTATAATTGATGGAAAAAATAGTGGATATGATCATAATGGTTTTTTAAGAATACATAATAATAATTTGTTCATTAAAAGTGAAGGAAATAGTAAATTTGATGTTATTGATCTTTAATTTTTTACTTTTGTGTATTATTTATTATTTATTGATTATTATGATTCAAAAGATCTTAAAAACTTGTCCTTTATTTATTTTTTATTGTATAGTTTTTTTTATTTGTATAAATTTGTTTTTTTTTTTACTTAAAAAAGGTATTTAAAATCTTAGAATTTAATTTGCATTTAATTTTTAAAATATATATTAATATTTTTTAATGAATATATTTATATAATATAATAATATAATTATTATAATTATTAATGTTAAAAGTTTATAAGGATTACTTATATTAAAAAAAATTACCAAAAAAAAAAAAAATAATATATAAAAATATTTATATTATTTATTCATATTTTTAACAATTTATATATATACATATTAATTTATATATTAATAAATACAAATTTTTTTCATTTTTAAATTTTATTAAAATATATATATAAGTATTTTAATCTAATTAAAATTTATTATTTACAATTTATTATTAAATAGTTATTATTCATTAGTTTTAAATAGCTTATTTTATAAATGAATATATTATAATTAACATTTTTAAAATTTTTTAATGATATAAATAATTAAAAATTTGCATAAATCTTTTTAGTAAGAAAATCTTAATTTAAAATTATTTTTTAATTAATATTAAATTTACTTATAATATAATATTTAAAAAGTTTAAGTATATTTTTAAAATTATCTATATTATAAACTTTTTAAACAACTAATAATTAATATATAGAATATAATTTTTCTATATCTTCTGTATTTTAAATTCTTTTTAATTATAGTTGAATTATATTATTTTAGAACTAATTTTAGCTAAAATTTTATAAATTAAATTATAGATGAGAGAAGAAACCTCTTAATAATAGTAATGAAATTATATCAAAATCATAATAAGAGATGCGACGAAATCCTTAGAAGGTATCTATAATTAAAATAAATCAAAAACTTTTTAATTTTTACAGATACTATATATGTAATTTATATATATTTTATGAATATTAACACTACAAGAATTTCAGGGATCAAAATTTTGGTAATGCGATTATTAAAATCTCCCATCTGTTATCTTTGTTTTTTTTCTTAAGTGATATGTAGAATTACAATATCTATGAACCGGAAATTCGATTAGATTATATGACAAAATCAAAAGTGAGGTGAGTGTAATCATACCTTATTTTTTATTTGCGGATATTGCAGTTTTGCAATTAATTATTGATGATGTATAAAATTTGTTGTAGTATTTGATTTTTCATTTTAAGCAGAGCAGATAAAGGATAGCCTACTTCCTTTTTATACAATTTGTAATGGTACAAGAATCGAATTTTTCATCCATGGAAATTATACATCATGGAAATTTCGGTCAATTTAATAGGTATAAATTGCGGAATTTATTAATCAAGATCAAACTAAAAATACTAGAATATAATAACAATAAAATTATAATAATGAAAATATAATAAAAGTTCAAGCTCGTTGATTCTCAAGACGCAAATTTTGTTCTAAACAATTATTGGACCTGTCTCCAAACCATCTCTATAAAAATCTTCATTTTGGAATGACAACAAACTAGCTCCGGATATTTCCTGTCTTTTCAAAATTTCGATAACCTTGTTATTTGACGGATGACATTGACTGATCGTTCTTCAACAAGCCGAATTCGTTCCTCAATGAACCGAACAAGATCGTTCCTCAGCGAACTGAACGAGATCAAGATATAGATATCTAACATCCGTTAATATGATGTTATATCTTGATGTTCTAGCTCTTCTTATTGTCCCAGAGGTATAATTTTCCTTGAAAGGGACTACAAGGATTCCAATTGTAGTACCATTGTGGTACCTCGATAAAACCCCTTCCAGGTCACGTAGGATCTCGGGACCTACAATAAATATTAAATTAACGTCGATTAATAAGATTTATATATAATCTACAGCTGATATATTCAACACATTACCTATATTTCGCCTCCTATTTTTGCATTGAACTAAGATCAAGAATCCTTCGTAATTTCCGAACAGATCCACACCACCATTCCCTGGTCTTGGTCTGAAATATCAAAATAAAAAAAGTGAGTGTGTGTCATATTCGTCAAGAACCAAAGAAAAATGTTCACAGTTGCATGTAACTGCGGTCACAATGTGCTTTCAATTCGATGTTTTGTATCCTATTCATCACAAACTCGGGGCTTAAGCCAGTGCAGATTTTTGATACGTTCACAGCAGGCCGTCCACCGTACATCAAGTCTGAATACCTGACTGGCAACTTTCGCAAGCTGTGGCCACGAAGAGCTTTCGACCCTCCGATTTACACCTTGTGGCAACGTAACTTCAGATACATAACAACTCAACAAATACTCATTAATATAATCACCTTATTCTGTAATACTCTACGTTTTTGACCGGCATTCTAATAAGTATTAATACATTTATTAATACCTAGTTATTTGGCCATTTTGGCCATTGGCCACGGCAAAATAGCCAAAAAATTTCTTGGCCGTGGCCAATGCTCTTCGGTAATCTCTGTTCCGTTGATACGGTGCTTGACTTTGACTTATTACGCAACTTTAAATAGGTCAAATTAGGTAAAATGTTGCGAACGACTGCCGGCAAAGAAATTCCTTCCGAAGGTATCGTTATGATTCATAAAAATTCTTAAAGTTTCATAGTTGTTTCCACTAGTAAATGAGCTCATGATAATTTTACTAGTGTTTTTTTCGCTTGATTTGGAACAAGAATATTTGAGAAAGCGAAATGATGCATAAAGAAAAATTTTTCACAAGTAAGGATAAAAATAAAAGGAGCCTATTCAAACGGGTAAATTTTGACTTTTTTTTTATATTATTTTATTGTTACAAAACTATAAGAGAAAAAGTCAAAAAAAAAAAGTCACTTGAGCTCAAAGAAGATTTGATTAAAATTTATTTCAATAATTACGTCATACATGTAAGCTCTCTAATATCTCTAGCCAATCAGAATAAAGATGTAATACACATGATAGGAATAAGTTCATGTGATTGGCTAATTTAAACAAACAATAATTAACCAATTAAATATCAATTTGACCAATTAAAAAATTAACATAAATTTAAATAGAATTTAAATAAAATAAAATCATAATTTTTATTATTATATATTCTTATAAGATCACGCTATGTATATTTTTACATTTATTGAATAGCTTTATTAGTGATATATATAATAATTGAATTTCATTATATTATACAAGCATATTAATATTATTGATTTTTCATACTATTAAAATTAAATGAACAATTATGAAAAGTAACTTTAGTATCATTTTGTTTAAAAAGATCTTGAAAACTCTCAAAATTAACATTTAAGTTAGAAATATTTTTATCTTCTTGAAGTGGCATTTTCATTTTATTATCATTTTTCATGTTAATTTGTTGCAAAGAATTATTTTCTATCAAGAATTTAGATAAAAATAAGTATTTTAAATAATTAAAATATAATATTAATAAATAATATAACACCTTTAACAACTTGCAATGCAGTACAAAAGCTAGATATTGAAATTGTATTAGATGTTTTACTATTATTCTGTTTATGTTCATTACTTACAAATCGGGTTTGTTCATCATTGAATATTAAAGTAGTATTACATAACGTTAAAGTATTTTGATCTATATACAAAAATAAATTAATATATTAATATATAATTATTTTATATAAAAACTTGATAATACTAATCATATCAGATGTAAAAATAGCATCAACTAATTCATTTAATGAAACATTTTAAAGTTTTTCATTTGATCATTCATATGACTTTAATCCACTTATAGATTTATGTTAGAATATAGATATAATTTCAATATCTATAAAATTTAATTTCTTTAATAAAGAAACTAAGGATTTATATTCAGAATAGTTAGTAATTTTTCTCTTTTCAACAGAAATTTCACATTTAACTGTAAGATTATGAAAGAATCCTTGTAATTGAAGTTTCCTATTTGATTTTTCAAATACTATCTACCTTTATAAATATATACTAATAAAATATAACAGTTAAATTAATAAATAATATCATTATTAAAATTTTGAATTACATATATTATTTATCATTTTCATTAATTATTTCCTGTAAATGAAAATTCTCCTTTGCATCAACAAGACATTTAATAATAAATAAATCATAATCTGTAATAATACTTGGATGATTTGGAATTTATAATTTATCACCAGAACTATTATTTAGATCTTCAATACCTTCTTGTTTTATCTTTAATCAAGTAATATTTACATCGTAACCTCTATCATATTTTTTATGAAAATGGCTAAATTTTAATTTATAATGTTCTCCACTACAAAGACTAAGAAAAATTGCATTATAAAAAAAGATTCTTTTTAAAAGTCCTAATGGAGTTTCTTAAGTAAGTATAAGAGATTACAAAATCTGTTGACATTTCTCAATAATAAAAGCTAAAGATCCCTTTTTTATGCCTTTACCAATTTAGCTAATTCTTTTAATTTACCATCAAATATCAAATGTAAATCAAGAAATTGCTTTTGATCAAGTAAATCAACTAGTCATAGTGGAGAATATATATTTACATATCAATTTAATACATACATTACATTAATAATAGATAATATTAAATATTCTTTTCCATTTTGTTATTTCATTACTGTAACATAATCAGATATCTGTTCTTCCAAGTCTTTTAAGTTAGTGATATTCTCACAAATATCAGCCAGTCTAACTGTTTTGCGATAATTTTCAAATTTTTTAAGCCAGCTGTTTGTTGATAAATGAGTATTTTCAACAATGGACTTTTATTTAAAATATTCTTTTTGTTCCTTTGTAGATTTAATATAAACAATTGAAGAAGATAACTAAATAACATAAAATAAACACTTATTATATAGGTCTTTAGACAATACCCTCCTATTTTCAATTTCAGCAATTTGATGATCAGATTGCACTACTTACGTAACATAATCTGAGCCTATCAAATGGCCTCAATCAAAAATAGTATATTATTGTTTAAATACTGTGAACGGATAAATGTGATGCAACTCATGTGATGCAAAAGATTGACTGATTTGACATAACTGACATATATAACATGTCAGACATATGTGACATATATAACATAGTTAACATATTAGACATAGCTGATATAGTTGATATATTAGATATAGTTAACATATTAGCTATAGTTAATATATTAGACATATTAGTTATATCTTTCTATGTAATTTATTTTTATATAAATAGGTAGCTTTTTAGTTCATATAAAAAGAAAGACAGATAGGAACTCAATAAGATAGTTTTAGTAGTTTTAGAGGCAACTGGCCTATTACGTTACCTTTTAATTTAGTATTTCATTTTTTTTCTTTTCTTAATTTTCTTTTATTTTCTTTACTTTTTCTTTATTTTCTTTTCTTTTATTATTTTACTCATGAATAAATACATTATTTATAAATACAATTTACTGGCAATCTGTTAAATCATGATTCACTATAATTATATAAATACTTTTGATAAATCGTCTAAGTTAAAGCTACAAACTGTTGAAAGATTACTGCTCAATTAAAAAGAATAAACCACTTGAACACTCTGTTTAACAGTTGTAGTTCGTAAGAATTACACATTAACAATACTATACAATAAGTATATATTATTATATACCATTTATATTATTTCAAAAATTTATTAAATTGTATTTAAATTCATAATAAATATATTTAATAAATATATTTAAATTTATAATAAATATATTTAATAAATATATTTAAATAACCTATAAGATTATTACAATTTACATAATAATTTGAATAAACTATAATATTGTAATAGCTTTGTTCATTTCTGAATCAAATCACTTAGATCAGCAAAATTAATAATCAATAAAATTGTAACTATAATTAAATACAATTTTTTTGATCAAATCAATAGTTTTTGTTTTATTGACTTTTAATAAAAAATTTGTCAATAATTTTATATTTTCATCATTTCAACCTTCTTTTTCAGATTGAGAAATATTATTAGAAGTGTCTTTTTACTCTTTTTTTATAAATTTTTAGTTTAGCAAGTATTAGAATAGTAGTGATAGGTTTGATTAATAGTAATAAATTAAAAATATATAAAACTGAGTTAAAGGTTATTACAGCTATAATGTATAGATTTTATATAAAAAATACTTGTAGTTTTGGAATAATTGAATGAAAGGTAGAATTGAGTTAGATATTTTAAATTAAATATGACAAATTTTAAAAAAAAGTTGCATTGTCATTATTTCATAAAATCTAAATTAATTTATTAAAAATCGATCAAGATGAGAAATAAAAATATTAATTGTATTGATTACTTACCTAATTATTTCAGTAACCAATAATTTTTGATTTTAATTTTAGTCGATTAGGTTCAATCTAGAAATAAATAGAGCTAATATTTCAAAAAGTTAAAATACTATCAACTAATTTTTATCATCATGATTTTCTTTAAAAATAAAGTTAGATTCTTCATTTTCAACTTCATTAATTGAATTAGATCAGTATAAATAATTTATAAGTAATTTTACATGTTTATCAATACTGGATTTTATATAATATAAGCAATTCCTATAAAAAATTTTTTCTGTGATTTGATGCTGAATTATTTTCATGATTTAATTCTATGATTTTTCTAATTATAATAGGATTATTGCAATATAATTGATCTATATAATACATTATAAATAATTATATAAGTAATACAGTTAATATGATTGACTTAATAGATGTATTTAATTTATATAAAATAAGAAAGTGCAGATCAAAATGTTAAATATATCAAACATATTTGACATATTTAATATATTTGACATATCTTATATATTTAACATATTTGATATATTTGATATATTTGACATACCTAACATATATGATATATTAGATTTATATTAAAGGTATATAAATGAGACTAAATTCTTAATAAGAAAGTAACTATCAATTGTTAGATACAATCTGATTAGTTCAGCAATAATTATTTACAACCTTCTTTGTAAAAATAGTGTAAGATTATTCTTTTCTACTTGTGATTAATTCTTCTTTTGTATCTTTTTATTTTAGTATTTTTAGTTTTTAGTTTATTTATTTACCAATAAATTTTTATTCGATTTACTTGAGACATTTTGTGATACCTTGTATTAATAATGTAATTCACATTTATTTTTAACTTAACATATAGAAATATAGTCTGAAATTTTACCAAAATTGTCATAAAAATCTTTGCCTTTTATAGTAAAGAAATGCTGATTAGAATATTTTAATTTATTTCTAAATATGTTAATCAAAAATTATGATTATATATCTAGTCAGAATTATATTTGTTTATTATTTATTCGAAAACTTATTTAAATTAAAATCATATAAAGTAAAAAAAATGATAAAATAATTTTTAATTTTCACTTTCTTCTTCACAAGCAATATTATTTTTAACCAAAATATTTCTAATTTTCTAAAGAATATTTAATAAATCATTATGAGATTTACTTAATAAATCTTGAAAGTATAATTAATCTGAATCATCTAAAGATAGGATTAAGGAATTAATTATTGCTAGAATTTGAGTTTTAGTCAAAGAAATTTCAGATTGTTAAAGATTCTCTTCTTCATGAGTTATAGGAATTAGACACTAAATTCCTTGTAGACTTTTATCAATTAATACTACTTTAATAAATTTATTTTTCTTCATATTTGCAATTTTGCTAAATTTTTTCAGTTCTTCACTTAGTATCAATTCACCAGTAATATTTTGGAAATTCTGATTGCTAGTACTATTAGAATTTACAAATTGTATTTTTTTTATTTGAATTCGAAATTATTATGATTCAATTGCAAAATCAGGATATATATAAGGCCTATAAATATCACCTTCAGAATACCTATTATATTAAATAAGTTAATACAAAGTTCCATAAATTTAGTGCAATTGTGTGCTGCAATTTCACAATATCATTGTAAAAGTATAGAAGAAATCAACAATTTAAGTGCTCTATTAACTTCTTTGAGAACTGCATCAAGATCTTGGTATTGATTCAAAAGTCTAAATTGTAATATTACAACTCTTTCTTGAATTAGATCACAAATATCAGGTTTTAGTCATAATATTTATTCTTCATCTATAATCTCAATTAATCGATAAATTAGATATTATCTGGTAGACTAAATAGGTGCAAATATTTGTCTAACTGCAGTTATTAATAAAAGACTATTTATACGAATACTAGTACAAAAATTAATAATTGTTTATAAGTAATAAAATATTTATTCATATTTAAGTTGAAATGTAAGATCATTTTGATTTTAAGCCTATGTAAGATAATCATTAACAGAAGAAGATTCTTCAGAAAGAACATATAGCTACATTAATTCAAATGCTATTGTATGCCTATATATATTATATATTGAATCGTAAAATTTATGATTATCAGCATATTTCTTAAAAAACTAAAGTTAGTTTTCAGTTCGATAGCTTTAGCATTGAGTGAAGTGTTTCATATTAATATTCTAATTTAGTTTAACAAATGTCTTTAACATATTCATTTCTTTATGAAAAGTACCTGAAACTAATATAAGCTAAGAGAAGTCTTTTTTGATCTTTTATATGTAATTATAAGATACTCTATCATAAACTACTATGATCCACTTATGATCATCTTATTTAATATCAGATATCTCCTCTATATGTTTAAAACCTTCTAAATGTTTATGATTGAATTTAGATTAAGGCCTATTAGATCAGGAATAAACATTTGTAGTATGTTGACTCTACCTTCTAAATTTGATTATTGTATAATATTAAAATTTATATTAAAATTTTAATTATTTGATTTTAAAACATAAGGAAGAATGACCAATGATTTTTCATTAACATTTGTGATTCTAAGTGGCTTATTAGGTTGTTAACTTATTTTAGCTATTGTTAATAATCTAGTATTGCATGTAGGATAAATTCATTTTTTATTGTTAATATTAGTTATTTAACAAATAAAGCATTTTTTCATATACCCTAGTTGGTTTTAGTGATGTACTAACTCATCAATTTCATTTTTTTTGACTCTTTTTGATACAAAATTCTTCTAATAGAGTTGTAAAATATTTGACTAGTTCTTTGTGAATCTCATTTTTTATATCTGAATTTAAATATAATAAATTTTTGCATTGTTCTTGAATAAGCTCAGAATATAACTAAGAATTAATATTAGTTTGAATATTATTATATCAATCATAATGAAAATGTAACAAAACTCATAACTGTATAAAATACAACTGTATTGTACTCACAATCTAGATAGTTCTTTTATCTCTTTTGCTCGTTATCAAAAGCTAAAAATAAAAGACCTTTAGGAAAGAATAGCTGTTTAATAACTAAACTTTCTAACCAATAAGTAAATTTTGTATAATTACCAGAATTAATAATATAATTATTGATATTAATGATAGTTTTAGATCTCGCTAATAAATATTTGATTACAGAAGCAGCAAGGTTAATAATAAAATATACTTTAAGTTTCTTGCTTCATAAATAGTATCAACCGCTACTGCGCATTTAAAAAGCTTTTCATCCCTGAGCTGATTATTGCTTTCATTACATATGAAAATTGCTATAAACTTTATGATAACCAGATTTTGTTTAGAAAGCCAGTCAGAAGTAAAATAACTTAAAAGACTATCAAAATAAATTGTTCCTGATTGTCTATTAAATTGATAATATTATCATAAAAATTTTCACGTTCTTTTTTAGCGATTTTAATTACAAAATCAATTTTTGTTTTTTAATCCTATACCATCTTCTTTTTAATTCTTCATTTTTAGATTCTAGTTGAACAATCTTTTACTCATATTCTCTTATAAGTTTAATATATTTTATTCGCTAAGTTTCAGAATTAGTTAAAGCTTTTTTTGTCTTTAGTAACTCTAGCATAAGACTTTCTTTATTTTGTAGTATGATTTCTTTATTTTCAATTGTCCTCAATCTTTTTCATTGACTATTTTTTTCAGAGTTATTTTCTGATATAAATCTATTAAGTAAAGTATCAGTAGCAACAATTTGATTATAATGCTTTTCACAAATTGAGTAATTTTCTAAAAAGTTGCATAATAAAGATAATTCAGGAAGATACTTAGCAAAAATATTTATCCAGTCCGCTGCTGCCCCCACTGATGCATGTCTTTATTTTTGATTCTCTTTGAATTTACATGATATTAAACTTTCTGAATATTTAGCAAAAAAACCTTCAAATATATATGACAATCTGTTAGCAGCCAGTTTACTCATCATTTTAAAAGTTAATATTGAGATAACTTTAGATTAATATTATGCTTTTATATTTTTAGAGGATGAAAGTGGATTATAAAAGCATACATTCAAAAGAGTATATTTATATATTTATTATAAATACATTATAATATATTTTTTTGCTTTTTGGATCAGTGAAAGTATTATAATCTTTTAATTAATAGCCAATCAAATTTGTGAAATATGATCACTGATTATTCTAGATTTGATTTCTATTTTAGATAAAATCTTAGACTGAAATATACTCAATAATATATTGAATATATTTGACAATATATAATAGATGAATTATACATTCATTGTAGATTTGAATATATTGTCAATATACAATAAAATCTAATTAACTAAGATGTGAATATATTTTTTAATATATAAAAGAATCTAATTAACTAAGGTATAAATATATTCTATAGTATATAAAAGAACCATTAACTTACTAAAACAACTATTAGATTATTATATAAACTTTAAAAGAATCACTATTTAAATACCCTATTTAACAATTGCAATTTGATAGAATTGCACATTAACAGTATAATTTAACTTCAGAATTTTTACATAAATACAGCATATTCACAAAATTTATAATTATAAAAAATGGAGATTTTACTAAAATCATTTTTATTATATATTAATTATTAATTTAATAAAATAGATATTTATTGAAATAAAAACTGTATTTTTATTAAATAATTAAATGGATAAATATAGATAAATTTCAAAATATAAACTGTATCCTTATTGAATAATAAAATATATAAATTTTTAAATAAAAACTGTATTCTTATTGAATAATAAAATAGATAAATTGTGAAATAAAAATTTTATTTTTATTAAATAAATTCATTATGAATTTTCATTATTTTTTTGATCCTTTTGCAAATTCTTTATAAGAAGTTTTTAGAGTAATTTCAGTTATTTTCCATTTTATTTTATCTCTTTTATTTTTACCTATAAAAAATTAATAAATAAAAATAAAAAAATATGAAGCATAAAAAAATCATAAATAAAATAAAGCAACCAAGTTAAAAATGTTGCTATAATTAATTGCAATTATGTGATGCTTATTTGTCACTAGTTGCAATTAGTTGTAACTCAATTTTTATTAATATTGCAACTAGTTGTAATCCTATAATACTTATTTATCACTGGTTGCAACCAGTTGCAATATCATCTTTAAACCAAGTAATTAATTTAAAATATATATTAATGTGAAAGAGCAAAGGAGTAAAAAACTAAAAAAAATAATTAATAATAAATAGTATTAAATAATAAATTCTAAGACAAGTAAAAAATAGTAAAAGTTGAAAATAATAAAAGAATATATATTATACCTTTTAAAACATTAGACACTTTAGTTATAATTAGAACATTTATTTTTGAGTATCTTTTAAAGTGTTAATAATTTTAGTTATAATTGAAGTATTTGTTTCTTGAGTACTTTTTAAAGTATTAGCAACTTCAGTTATAATTAGAATATTTATTTTTTGAATATCTTTCAAAATGCTAGTAACTTTAATTACACCTAAAACATTTACTTTTGAGTAATCATCAATAAAATTATTGCTATATAATTAAGTAAAAATTTAAAGATAATAAAAAGAATTTAAATATTAAAAATATACCTAAAATTTTAGGAATTTGTAGTTATTATTAACGTTACATATAGAATAATTTATTCTATATTTTATTTTAAAAAAAAGGTAAATATTTTTTTTTTGGTAATAATGAAAGCCCTTTATCTTTTACTTTTGTAACATTTTTTTTCTTTACTTAATCAACTATTGGTAATATTAATATAAATTTAAATTTTAGCTAATTATCTAAACAGTATATTAGAATAAAATTAAAAAATATTTACTTATACTATTATAATATGAGATGAACCAATCATAAGATATAAAGTCAGTTTCAGAAATCAGAAATATTGAATTAATTTCCTTAAATTATATTAAAATATATTAATATTTAAGCATTTTAAAAATTATTAATTTAAATTGTTTACATCATTAATAACTTCTTTTGCTTTTTTTTTATTAATAGGATAAAGATTTATCACAGGTAAAATTAGAGTTTCAAATTTTGATCTAAAATTCAGATACCTGATCTGACTTGACTTGAAATTCAGATTAAGATTGACAAGTTATTATAATTATACAAATTAAATTAATTTCTAATCTGATTTGATCTGACCTGAACAATTTATCAATTTAATATCATTGATTACAAATTAGTAAATTAGATCACTAATCAAAAATGAAGCGTAAAAAAAATAATAAACTAAAAATTCTACTAATAAATACTATTATAAAAAAACAAAAAAAGAATTTTCTACTGATGATAATCATAATATAATAGAACTTGATACCTAAAAAATAAATAAGGAACTTAATAATAAAGAAACTCAAAAAAACAAATAAAAACCTTGATAATAAAGAAACTCAAGAAACAGATAAAGAACTTGATAATAAAAAAACTTGAGAAATAAATAAGAAAATTAATAATAAAGAAGATGAAAATAAAATTAATAATACTTCAAATTCAATTTTAAATACTTTAAACAAAAATAATAAAAAAGGAAGCAATATAGTATGAAAACATTTTGAGAAGTTTAAAGATGAAAAAGATGTACTTTAGATAAAATGTTAATATTATAGGTAAAAAAATCTAAAATACTCAAATGAAAAAATTTTTATTTTTAATTTTATATTTTTATAATACTATTTTAATAGTAATTATAAATATAGTATGAATAATAAAGGATCAATTGATAATTTAATTTACTATTTTAGTACTATATATTTAGATAAAATTAACTCTTCTATTGTAAAGCAAGCAGAGTTTATGAAAAATTCTTATAAGAAGGAAAGAAACAACTTGTAAATATAATTTGTTATTTATTTTGATTTTAATATTTAATATAATAAACTTATTAAATTATTATTTATTTGTAAACGTAGCTATTTACCAATAATATTTTTCATGAAAAATTCACTATATAGATTATTATAGATGATCAATCATTTACCATTGTTAAAATCTCCAGAATTTTATCATTTAATAAAACTTTGTAATCTATTAGCATATATTCTAACAGTAGATACTGTTAAAAATGATATTTTAAAACTTTTTAATAATTATCAAATAAAAATGCAGAACTTATTATAGGTTAAAAAGAATTAAATTAATTTATTATTTGTAAATTTAATGTTATAAATTTTATACTTATTATCTAATTAAATTTGATTTATAAAGAATACTTCAGGAAAAATAAATTTTGCATTAGATGCTTAGATTTCACTCAATACTATTGGTTTTCTTAGAATAACATGCTACTATATTGATATAA